CCCCAAAACCCCAAAACCCCAAAACCCCAAAACCCCAAAACCCCTAGCTGTTGTCAATCTATTGAGACTTATAATGCACCCTTTAATTTTTGTCACGAAGGCTCATCGGTTTAGTATCTGTCTCCACCTATGCTCCTTCTCTCAGTGAATGAGCCTGGCATCGAAATCTTGTTTCTCTAAAAATTACTGATAAAATTTACCGATTTTGTTGAATAATATGGATCATCTTCGTACGCAAACGTACCTGGAAGGTTGTAAGATCCTGGGCCTGGATTCGCTATGAAATGTTATCAACAGAGAAGGGCAAGTTGTTACCAAGGATTTCTTTTAGCTCCATTGATTTCCGAGCATCTTTTCCAAATCCAAAAGGTTTCTTCATCATCTTGCTACCCTGAATGAAATAGTTCTGCTTAGGGTCATATTTGCCAGGAGGGGGCACATCGTTCTTGATATCTTTGAATCTCCTTCCAGAACCTTGGTACGGCAATGACCTGATATTCCTACAACAATTAATCTAATTTCCTTACGCAAATTTAGATGTATGATAAATCCCATTAGGGTTAATATCTTCTTTAGTCCCATAATGGCCTGGGCCTGGCACGAAGTTCCTTGTGCGGTTTAAATGATCTATAACTTAATAGAAATATTTACCGACTGGATTCTTATTACCTATTCCCATCGTTATTTTCCAGCCTATAGTTAGCTTTGGGAGTACTACCTTCTCTTCCCAGCATTCCCTTTGGGTTATAGGTTCCTGGCCCAGGAATCGATGTGTCGGGGTCATCAACTTTATAAGTCATTTCCTACATTAGGCATTAAATATTTTAGGATTTCAAATAACTGTTCCTGATTCGAAAGAAGCTACGGTGTTGATAAATTTTACCGAAATTTTAAGACCAAGTCTAATATTTCATGGTGCATATTATGTATTACCGCTTTCTTATATTCCTTCGAACTCCCTCCGAACGAAAACGAAGGGAGAGAGGCAGACCTGCTGTTAAATGAATTTTTCACATTATACTCTCCAGCGTCAGGGGCTAATTCTACAAAATTAAGGAATATAAAGTATACTTTTAATTTTATTGAACCTCTTGCCAACCCCAAATCCAGGCCCTGCTCTCTTAGGAATATCAAAACTTGACTTAACTTGATATTCATTTTTACATACTGGGCTTTTTATTCTTGGAAATCTTGTTCCCTTCGAAAAAGAATATTGCTGCTTGGCTAATGAGTTGTTAACCTGACTGAATGGGGAATACGACCTATATCTCACCGTTAGCTTCATTCCAGGATCCCTCATAGGAGATAAAAAAATGGATTTATGAGGCCCTATGAATTTCTTCATACCTGCTAACTCTTTTATTATCACTCATTGTTCTCACTTATGATTTATTATATTAACTCTATAGCCATATTGGGGTTTTGGGGTTTTGGGGTTTTGGGGTTTTGGGGTTTTGGGG